AACATTTTACTCCATGGTGAAGTCATCTGATTCATGTTTAGGAGTAATCACTCTGGCTGTGGTATGTAGTATAGGGGGCAAACAAGGAAGCCAGGAATGCAGTTAAAAAGCTCTATTAGTTAGCCTCTGGCGAGTTTTGCTGCAATAACAAGAAACTTCAGACTCTCAGTGACTTAAAACCACAAAGCTTTATTTCTCTCTTGGGTTGGATGTTGGCTGTTGCTCTAATTGATGTTGCCTTCAATTTGCACAGAAAGAATAGCCCTAGTCTGTAACATCACAGGACTCATTGAAGGGAAAAGAGAACTACATGGTGGCCCTTGAAGACTGCTCAGCAGCAGAACATGTCACCTGCATGCATATTTCACTGACCAAAACCCACACATGCCATGCCTGTTATTAACAGATGTGGTAGGAAGAGGAAGTGGAATGTGGGAATGATGATAAAACCTACTGCAGTAGTTAATGCAAAGATTTTTGGATGACTGTGGTAGAGGTGCTGAGATATGGCTATATTCTGAATATATTTTGGACATGGTTGCTAATGAATCAAAAGATGGGAGAGAAACAGAAGTCAAGAACAGCTCTAATGTGTTTTACCTGTAGCTGATACAACAGGATCAAACCTGAAAAATAAAGAAAATCTGACTCCCCCCCCTTGGCACTTACCATGCATTTCCTTCATGATATCTGCTCTCAATTCTTCTGTGGGCTCTGATCTTAGGTGGTTTAGCTCATTAGCTGGAGGAGAAATACTGCAAAGGTTAAGAGCATAAATTCTAGACTCAAACTTTTCTAGAGTTTCTTGAATTCTCTTCTCTGTGAACTTGAACTAATTGGTGAATATCTTGAGCCTCCATTTTATAATCTTTAAAACAGTGGCTATTTTTCTTACAATATGTTTATAGCATGAGATACGTGTCTGGAACATAATAAATGCTCATTTAATGGTACCTCTTGTTTTTTTAAAAATAAATGTTATTGATTATGCTATTACAGCTGTCCTATTTTTTTCTCCTCTTTATTCCCCTCCTCACTGTACCCTCCCTTCCTGACCCCCACCATCATTCCCCAAACTTAGTTCATGTCCATGGGTCATATATATAAGTTCTTTGGCTTTTCCACTTCCCATACTATTCTTAACCTCCCCCTGTCTATTTTGTACCTACCATTTATGCTTCTTATTCTATCTACCTTTTCCTCTGTTCTCCCCACTTATCCTCCCCACTGATAACCCTCCATGTGATCTCCATGTCTGTGATTCTAGTTGTTTGCTTAGTTCATTTTATTTTTGTTTTTTTAAGTTCAGTTGTTCATATTTGTGAGTTTGTTGTCATTTTACTGTTCATATTTTTTATGAGAAGTTCCTTTTTCTTAGAGAAGTCCCTTTAACGTTTCATATAATAAGGGCTTGGTGATTATGAACTCCTTGAACTTGACCTTATCTGGGAACCACTGTATCTGCCCTTCCATTATAAATAATATCTTTGCTGGATAGAGTAATGTTGGATGTAGGTCCTTGCCTTTCATGACTTGGAATACTTCTTTTCAGCCCCTTCTTGCCTGCAAGTTTCTTTTGAGAAATCAGGTGATAGTCTGATGTTAACTACTTTGTAAGTAACTGTCTCCTTTTCTCTTGGTGCTTTTAAAATTCTCTCCTTACCTTGAATCTTGGGTAATGGAATTATGATGTGCCTTGGTTGTGTGCTTCCTTGGGTCCAACTTGCTTGGGACTCTCTGAGCTTCCTGGACTTCCTGGAAGTGGATTTCCTTTGCCAGATTGGGGAAGTTTTTCTTCATTATTTTTTCAAATAAGTTTTTCACTTGTTGCTCTTCCTCTTCTCCTCCTGTCACCCCTATGATTCAGAGGTTGGAACATTTAAAGTTGTCCACAGGTTCTTAAGCTTCTCCTCATTTTGTTTAATTCTTGTTTCTTCATTCTGTTTTGGTTGAATGTTTATTGCTTCCTTCTTCTCCAAACCATTAATTTGAGTCCTGGTTTCCTTCCCTTCACTATAGGTTCCCTTTGTTTCAATTTTCATAGCCTTCACTTTTTCCTCTATTTTGTTACCATACTCAATCATTTCTGTGAGCATAGTGATTACCAGTGTTATGAACTGTGCATCTGATAGGTTGGCTATCTCTTCATCACTTAGTTGCATTTTTTTCTGGAGCTTTGATCTGCTCTTTTATTTGGGTCATTTTTTTGTTTTGTCTCAGTGCTTATTACATAGTAAAAGGTATTTACCTGGGCGGGGCAACCCACTTCACTGTCTAGTAGCATTGTATATGGGAGAGGGGTGTGAGAGGGAACAGTGCTACTTGCTCAGCTCTCTGTCAGTTTTCAGTCACTTCCCCCACTACCCACAAACAAATTGGGCCCTTCTGGTGCTTATTCCCGAGCGGATGGTTTTGTGTACATTCTAGGACCCTGTGGGTCTGTCCAATGAACTCTCCTATGAGGTTGGGAGTTCCTTCTGCCACTTCAACCAACACAGATTTCTTCAGTCAGCGGTTTTGAGGTTTTATTTTTCTGCACTGGAACCCTGGTTTTGTGGTCTGTCTTGCTCCCAATTGCTTCTCCCAGTTTATCTACATGCAAATGTGGGACCGCCTACTCTGTGAGCTGCAGCCCTGCCCAGTCTGCTGGGGGCCTCCTGGCCATGAGTCCTCTTCACCTGGCTTCCCATCTCTGCCCCTTCTACCACTCTAGATGAATGTTTCTTCTGTAACACCTTGGTTGTCGGACTGCCATACAGTTCAATTTTCTGGCAGATCTGGTTATTTTTTGTTTTTAAAATTTGTTGTTGTCCTTCTTTTGGTTGTGAGAGGAGGCACAGTGTATCTACCTATGCCTCCATCTTGTCCCAATACCTCTTGTTTGTAACAGTAAGAGCCTAAAAGTGTAGGTTTAGGGTGAGCAGAGAGGGAGGCAGCAGCAAAATATGTCAACCTTAGTCGATTTGAGATTATGTGCCCATCATAAGCTGGGTTCTTTACCTTCTCTTGATGCATTCTCACTACAGGCTTGTTGAATGAAAGCTATCACCCCACTTTAGAGGTCAGTAAACCAAGCCACAGAGGTGTTAAGCGATTTTTCCCAAGGATACACCTTAGAAAACTAAGAAGTAGGACTAAAACCCAAGTATGTTTGAATCCCAGGCTTGTGTTTAAATAAATCAAATAAAGAATTTAAAATATTGGTGTAACTTGCTATAGTTCACTTATTTTTGATAGCATCAACTATCATAAAAAGTGAAACTGACCATGCATGTAAAACAGTCTCTGAAATCACTTCTAAGAAATGGTGAGAGCGATTCTTTTGCTTCATGTATGCACATCTTTCTTAGAGGAAATAGGCATATGTAGCACAAAATTAGAAAGCCTTATTTATAGTCTGGGGCCAGGGAAATAGCTTTCTGGCTTGGATATAAAGAAAGGTGGAAAAGATAGTGGAAGACTGAGGCATAAGGAATGAGGGTAGAAATCCTTGAGTGAAAGGAGAATATGAAAAGAATAAATGCAACTGAAAAATAGAGCATTTGAGTATGTAAAATCACAGTAGTTTTGCAAGTGATGTAATTAAAAGTAAATGAGATCCCACTTTAATACCAGTTCAGTAAGAAGAATATTTTGAAAAAATAATGCCAAAAGCTGGTGGCTAAGCCTTGAAGTCTGGTGCTCTATACATTATTCTGGGCAATTGAAGATGGAAAGTAATTTGGAGAAACACAGGAGACTTAAATGTATTCATAGTCTTAGATTCAATAATTCCCCTTCTGAGAATTCATTCCCCAAATAATTCAAACTATTAGAAAAAATGAAGATGTTTTTATAGGATTATTTGAATGATAGCTTTTAAAATGTCTATTTCACAACTGGGTAATTGTTAAATCCATGATGATACTGCTACTCCCTAGAATTTTATATGGATATTAAAGCTTATGACAAACACATTTTGAAAAATACAAGTTGAGAATGAAGCACTGATAGATGATGGTACAACATGGATGAATGAAACCATGCTCAGTGAAAGATGCCAGACTTAAAGACCACGTATATATAATTCCATTTGTGTGAAATTTTCGGAATAAGCATATCTATGGAGACAGAAGTAGAACAGTAGTTGCCTAGGCCTGGGTGTCTGGGGTGGGAGTGGGGGGGTGGGGGATGACTGCTAACAGGTACATGATTTCTTTTGGGGGTGATAAAAGTGTTCTAATTTAGACAGGGGTGATGATTGTACAACTACTAATATACCAAAAAACCATATAATTGTAGAGTTTAAATTGGTGAATTATATCCCAATAACAATGTTAAAAATGCAAATAGAGTACTTACTATAATTAAAACTAAATTATACAAATGCATGGAAAACAAACTGGAATATGGCCAAATGCCAACAGTGGTTTGGTTCAAAGGGTAAGTTTATGGATGAAAATGTTTGCCTTCTCCAGTCTAAATTTTTAACGATATGATTAGAGTGTGTTCATTATAAAAACAAAATAGACCCCTGGCCGTGGCTCAGCTGGTTGGCTGTTGCCCCACGAAGCTAAATGTCACCAGTACAGTTCTTGGTCAGGGCACATGCCTGGGTTTCTGACCTCATCCCCAGTAGGGTGCGTGCAAAAGGCAACCCATGAATGTTTGTCACATTGAATGTTTCCCTCTCTTTCTCCCTCCTTTCCCCTCTCTCTAGAGGTAAATAAATAAAATATTTTAAAAACAGATGTAATAGGCAAGTAGAACCATTCTCCTTCATAGTTGCAGCTCCCCCTCTACCAAAATTTAGTTTTTTGGTATTTTTTTTTATATTGTTAGGTCAAGAGTCAGAAAATTTACAGTCTAGCAGCCTTCACAACCCCTTCTGGCCATTTTAGACCATTTGATACTATTTTACAAATGAAAACAATAACCATGTTGATGGGTGTGAGCCCAAAGAAAAAATACACACATTAAAGTTTTGGCATATGGAATAATACACGTGTTCTCCTTTTTAGGAAGTGATAGAAGCAATCGCTGAGTGTGCATTTAAGACTTCACCTTTTCCGATCCTCCTTTCATTTGAGAATCATGTGGATTCGTAAGTATTTAGCACACTCAAAAAGGAATCTTTTTCCAAATAGGGCATGTTTAATAATTGTTCATCTGATATAAGATTATTTGACATTGTTAGTGGCGTTCTTTGCTTATGGTACATATTAGGCAGCATATTTCCGTCTGTATGGGGTGGAATTCATTCATTTAAATCTCATTCACATTAAAATAATCCAGTGGACTTCTGGAATCTACTTTCATGCCATAGTAGGATTTTTCAACTTTTTACAATGCAGCACGACACACTTCCTTCCATAACTCATGTCTCTAATGCAGGGGCCACTTTTACAGTCCTCCTCCAGTGGCTCCTTCTGTTGCATGCGAACCTATGGTCAGGGTCATCACACTACAATGGGTAGTTCCACACACATTGGAGCTGGTGGAGGGACAGCTATAAGTTCTATCCTGCCTCTTTGCACTTATTCAGGACTCAGACCAGTAAATGCTCCCTCCATCCTCTTCCCATTGGTTCCCCTGTTCGTTAGTATTGGCGGATAGTCTCCTGTTTCAAAACAGCCTGCACTTATCACTGAGCTACACAAAGAAAAGGTACAGTAGTTCTGACTTAACTGTTTTACAAGTATATTTGCTTTATGACAAAGAACCAAAGAAAGACACATATATTACATGGGTTTATCATATATTTATTTAATTTAAAGAGCTCCAAAATGAAAACAAAAAATCTAATCTATATTGAATCAAAATTCAGGAAACTAAAAGTCCCACCCTTTGAATTGATGTCCAAAGAAAATGCCATAGTGACCACCATCGCTCAGCTAGCCCTCAGAAACAGTCCTCGCCTTCATTTCAGTGACCTAAGCTGGTTTTCTCGGCACGCCAGCAGCACCTGTCCTGATTTGGCGCTCAGGTTTCCCTCCTCACCTCAAGTCTTTTCCAGTTCACTAATCTGCCCGACTAATTTTCATACATACATGCTTCACTTCAGTAAATCTTAAAGAAGCTTGGTCGTGACCGGATTTCAGGTTGCATAATTTCTAAGTAGTTACAGGTGATCAGTGGTTAATGTACATGTGGCAAGATACCTTATTTTGAAGTAACTGATTTTATAATTGTCTGTATTTCTAGTTTGCCCTCCTGAAATCTTTATTACATTTGCTGGCTCGTTATTCTATTTCATTAGGAAAGAGTCATCCAATGAATGATGTAAAATTTGGTACATAGTCTTTTCTAACACTTCTAAGGTTTGACTGAAGAGAAAAGAAGTCATCCCATTTTATTGCTATTTCTCGTCTAACTGAAGGGAGCAGCGTGAATTGAGGGTCTGCGTTCAGTACCTCACTTGCTGCACAGCTCTGATTTACAGCTGCCTTTCCTGAAGCATTTTCTCGCCTCTGCCCATTCATGTGTAACTAGGCTGGAACAATGCTTCAGCATTTTTCTTCTGGGCACAACAGCTCCCACACTTGATGCATTATTTCCTTTTTTGGAGATAGAGCTCCCATAGCCTCAAATGTAGCACATTTATTTGTATCAAGAACTGTTTCTATGTAAATTAGAAAAAATGAGAAGCTATTTACAAAATTTATAACTGTATTCTTGATTGTCACACCTGCTACATCAAGGTCTCTCATAAGGTAGCCAGAGGTATCAATAACCAACACTAGCACAAACCTAACACCGCCAGTATTTATTATGTCCCGAGCAGCACTCTAAGCATAAGCTCATGTAACCCTCGCCACAAGCCCAGGGGCTCCTAAGAATAAATATTATCATGATTACCTATATTGGACATGTGATGACACTGAGTCCCAAAGAGAGTAAGTAACTTGCTTAAGGCCATTTAGCTAAATTGTGACAGAGCTGGGGGATTCAAATCCCACCAGTCTGTCTTCAAAAATCATGCATTGGACAACCCTGGCTGGTGTAGCTCAGTGGATTGAGCACGGGCCTGCGAACCAAAAGGTCCAATTCCCAGTCAAGGCACATGCCTGGGTTGCAGGCCAGTTCCCAGCAGGGGCCAGTTCCCAGCAGGGCACGCATGAGAACCAACCATACATTGATATTTCTCTCCCTCTTTCTTTCCCTTCCCTTCTAAAGATAAATACATTAAAAATTTTTAAAATAAAATAAAAAATTATGCATTTGACTACTACCAACCCCCATACCTGAGCCTTAAAACATCAACTGAAGACCACCACAGCATCCACAAGGCCACTTGCTGTAAATGTTCACATGGTTGTGCCCTTAACAACAGAATATTTTTTGCAGTCTTTTAGCACCAGTCATATGGAGAGACAAAACTGAGCATGAAAACTAAGCCTACATTGTACACAAAAGCAAAAACAATAGTGCCATAATTCTGTTCTTTCTGGCTTAAAAATGAGATATTTAGCAATTAAAAGTTCATTAATAATTCACACATACCAAAGAAAACAGGAAAACAGCCTCTGGATGCCGTGCTATTTATCTCCGACCATTGAGATCATCTAAAGGCAGTGGAATACGAAGATAATGAATTCTGTTGTGGGAGGAAGTTGTTTGCTTCATAGTCCCATTGTCCTTGAGCTGCACGTGTCAAAATCGCTCAGCCACAATTCTCTCCTGGGAGGACTCTCACACACCCCCAAAAACTGATAAGCTTTCCCTGTGCTGGGAAGCCCTGTGCTCCACCTGTAGGCTACCTCACCTCATTGCTGAACTGGGTGACAGACATCATTCAGCTGCACCAGCTGCAGCACTAGGTCCCACTAAACCTAGACATAACCTCAGAATCCTTCTCCACACGGTAACTCAGGAGCACACCCACCAAAGACGTCTGAACTCTATCTGCCATCTCTGTGAACTGTTTTATTCTGTGTGCTGCAGATACAGAATGCCAGGCTCAGATCTCTGGTCCGAGCTCACTGGAGCCAAAACAGAGCCACACTGGAAAAAATAAAACCCACTGAGTTTTGTAGTTTTCTCTCCAAATATCTGAAATCGTCTACTCTTGGACAACAAAGGGGAATCTGCCGTTAGTGGCTGGCAAGTTACCCATATTCATCTGCTACCCAGAACCCCATAAAATGCAGATTCCTGAGCCCTGCTCCTACTCCTGAATTCAAACTCCTAGAAATAAGACTTCAAAAAGTCCTAGATAATTCTGATGCTCCACCAAGTTTGTGAACTGGCACTTGCATAAGATGAATTCTACACCGAAATGTAGCAAAGTAACCTCTAACCATGGTTCAGTCACAGACAACATGAGATTTTGGACAAGGTTTTTAATTTCCATGCAGTGAAGATTCCTCGTCTACAGAGAAGGAAGTTGGTTTAGTTCAATGTGGAGGACTTACCCCATGAAATTGGGCACATTTCTAGGTCAGAAAACTGACCACTTTGCCAGGTGCCTACACTTCATTAAAATACTACAGAACTTGAGACATCCAGACATCTCTGCTATGGTCTGGAGCTCAAAATGTATTTGTGAATATTTTTCTCTTACTTTATCTCCATGGAAGCCACTCTTGACACTCTAAATGCTTCGGGATTTTTTTCTTTGCTAATTGCAATTTCAGTTTTAATGCCTTTTATTTCTGCAGTTCTGACCCACAATTAAAGCTGGCATGCTTTCCACTGACTCTTCCCGTTTAGTGTGCTGTCTGCTCTGATTCATTTTCCTGTCAGGTGGGCATGTGTGCTTGCAAAGACCATGAATTGCCTGGTCACCGAATAGCACACTTTACTGCTTTCTTTGACACTTACATCTTAATGTCTCCATCTCTGTTGATTTTGAGGCGGCTTTTTAAAAGTCCAGGTCAGATGCAGACGCTTGCTCTACAGGTGCAGTCCCTTCATGCACAAGCACCATACTCGTCATGGAGAGCTTGTTAGAAATGCAGATTCTCCAGCTCCACCCCAGTCCCTGACTTCAAATCATCATTTTCTTAAGCCTCCCAGTGATTTGAATGAAGTATTAGCATGCTGCTCTAAACACCACAGTCTATTAACCACCCGTGTCAGAATTACCTGCAGACTTGTAACAGATGCAGGTTTCAGGCCTCTACTCTCAACTCAGTGAATTGGGACTGGGGACTAAGGCCCGCCACCTGCACTATTAATAGCTTCAGGTGACTCTTTAGAGGAATCGAATGTAAGATGTTGCTCCAGAAAATTTCTTCTCTGTCCTAGAGGACTGCTTGACAGAGGACAGAGGTGTCAGTCTGTCACCTGCAATGGGGCACGTAGACCATCCCTCTCTACTGGTGAGAATATGGTTCCCTAAGAAATCCCCAAAACAGGGCATTAGGCTGAAACCCTTTTCTCTCCAGGTCTCTGATCAAAGGAACTTGGGGCTCCCGAGTTCCAAAACTCAAGAAAAATATCTTCTACTTCATCACATGTTGACTTGTTTTATCACAGTAGTTTTCAAACTTCAGCATGCATCAGAATTATCCAGAGGGCTTGTTAAAACACATACCCTGGGCCCCGTTTCCGCAGAGATTCTGATTCAGAATCTGCCTTGAAGGCCTTGAATCTGCGTCTCTAACCAGCCCCTGGTGCTCTTGATGCTGCTGGTCTATGGACCCCACTTGGAATAGCAAAGCCCTGTGATATTTGATAGCTTCATTCTGTGAAAGTGCAATGGAGGGCCCCGGACAATCTCTTTTGTGCTACCTGGAGCATGTGGGCCAGCACAGATGGACTTATTTTACCTGCAGCTACAGAGCTGGCTGGCTTGGTTGAGCCCCTTGGCCAGTTATCCCTGGAGCAAGAGTGTCTGAACTGAGGATGTCCAGGGTACCCTGACGGTCAGCTGCATCTCTTCTTGCTCCCCAGCTTCTGACAAGTGGCAGCCCCAGAGTTTCCCAGGATCGCTTTTCTGATGGCAGGTTTCTCTCTCTCTCTGAATCTGTTGAGGGATGCCACAGTACGTTCTCAGTGTATTCACAGTGTATTCTCATAAGCCATGCAGTAAAATCTCACATGGGTCAAGAAGGGCAGGCTGAGAAGTTGGGAGGATGTTATACACAGGGATCTGCAATTTCTGGGAATCTTCCCTGTGGGCCATTGCAATGTGATTTGAGCCCCCACAACATCCCTTCTTCCAGGAAGGAAGAGTTCATGGTCCAGGCCTAACAGTCATGGGCGAGGGAAGAAAAATAATCACATTTATAATCAATTCAAATTGTATAAAGAAGGCTTTTGAGCGCCGACTTATTCTTATTGCAGTCCCAGTTCCACTAAAATGTGTTAACGTTGCAACACCTAGAGACAGCTGTTGGAAATGAAGTTTGGCCGTCTGTAGATCAAAATCACAGTCCATAAATCCCGATGGAATTGGATACCTTTACAATGATATTTCACATTCTACAGAATGAGAAAAAAATGTGCAGCTTTGTAAAAGGTCAAAGGAAGCAGGAGTCTTGAAAGAACGGGGATGTTCCTCGGATCAGCTGTTTCCGTCAGCAGGCTCACTAGTCCCTTAGTCTGGCCGGGATCATCGTGCTTTTGCCCTGATCATTTATTGTTTAAAAGGCATTTGCACCCATCACTTCACTTCATCTTCTCAGCACCCACTGCCCCCTTCTGAGAACAGTTATCCCATCCATCTCATAGGTGAAGAGTGGGTGAGAGCCTGCAGCTCAGCTCAGCAAAGTCTGCAGCTCCGGCCTTTTCCCATAGACCCAGTGCCTGCAGGCGCTCGGTCGGACTGACACCACCTTTGCTTCCCTGTTATGCACAGAAGAGCTGCAGAGAGCTTTCCTTTGGGTGTTTGCTGCTTTTATCTGTGGACTTGCTCCCAAGGGGACACCTTCTGTCTGTCTGCCCTTTTTCTTCTACATTTTGAGATATTCCCCCTGCTCTTTCTCTCCCTCTCTCTCTCTCCTTTTCTCCCTCCTTACAAACCTACCAGTGGACCTCCCTCTCTTCCCCCCTTCTCTCTCCCGCCTCCTTATCAACCTCCTTTGTAGTACGGTTTTCTTTGTTGGTTGGACAAATTTCACCCAAGAATTCACATGAAGTCATGAATGAATTCCACCCTTAAGTGTCTTGCATTTGACTTAGAATCAGGAAATTAGGCAAAACAGACTGAGTCCCTAACTCTGGGACATTCAAGAATCCAGTGACAAGCAAATGACCTGCCTTCCCCTCCGTCTGTGTCTCTGCAGATCAGCCTTAGGAATAACACTCCCATCCACCAGAATGGTATTCGAAGTCTCCTAAGGCAGGAGAGTCAGCAAGGGATTTTGCATGACAAAAACTAATCCTGAAGGATAGGATGAGGGCATTACCTCTTCCTGTCATTAATGGCACAGAGTAGTCCTTCCAGTCCAGCCTTTCTGATGAGCCCCTGGCTTTCCTCCTCCTCCTCCCCTTCTCGCCCCCCCAGCCCGAAGCAGCAGGCCAAGATGGCCGAGTACTGCCGACTGATCTTCGGAGATGCCCTTCTCATGGAGCCACTGGAAAAATACCCCGTAAGCACTTTTGATGTTTACCCCTGAAGGAACACACACAGTATGTACAACTGGAGGTGGGGGGAGACCTACATCCCTTTCATGTCTGCCTTTCTTGGGAAGATGATGCAGTTGAAAACGGGCCCTTTGACTGGGAGGAGAGTAGCAATGTGAGCCAGGGAGGATGGGAGATGCCTGTTCTCCTACTCTGCCCGGTCCCCCTCCCGCGCCCACACTGCCAGACGTGACCCAGTCAGGACTGCACCATGCCCACAGTCACGCTCGGCCCGCAGAGACAGCCTGAAGGGCACAGGGCTCTGATCCCCTGCCAGAGAACCTCATCACACCCTTTTGAGAAAAATGGGTCAGAAAAATGGGACATTGCAGGTGCCACAGTGACATCCGGGCCTGTCCCTGTTGGCTGCTCACTTCCTCGCATGTGCCTCTTGGTGTAGTAGATCTCAACCTCCTGTTGCCATGGTAACAACCCTGCTCTGGGAGGGAAACAGCAGGAACATTCTCATGGAGACTCTTCCCTCTTCCACCCTTTCTCCAAGTCTCCCCTTCCGTGATTTCCTGCCAGTCTGCAGACTCATTGAGAGCAAGGAATACGACCCCAGTTTATGGGAGCTCACTAGACTTTCTAAAAATAACCCACCTCAGGGTTTGCACACACACTCTCTGATACAATATCTTAATAACCCCCCCCACAGGAAATTGATCTTGCCACTAGAAGTGTAAGCTTGAAACCCTTGAAATATGGTTCGAAAATAAGGGTTGCTGAATCTCAAGGCTGCAACAAACTCTGAAGCTGCCTGGTCCGCTCCTGCCGGTGCCACGGAGGTGGCAGCTTAACTGCCTAGTGCCAGGATGGGGCTTCTGTTTTTCAAATGCATTGAAGAGTAGATTTGAAGCACCTGCCTGCCCCTCCCAGCTCTTCCTGGCAGACACCACCCTCTAGCTGGCTTCCCTCCTTTGAAAATCCAGGTCAGGGCTTCCTTATCTGTCCTGAATGAAAATGGTTGGATGTGTATGGTCATTGGAAAAACTCTTGGAACTTAGTGTTAGCACACCTAATCTACTAGCATATTTCTAAGATCTTATTCATGTGGATTCACCATGGGAAAATGAGTACAGTAATTAAAAAATACCTTTTACACGAAAAAACCAAGAGCTATGAGCCATCCCTGTGCAGAACACACTCAGATTACTGGTAGTAAAGAGAAACCTAGAAGCTCCTGGTACCCAGAGCTGTTCCACGGAGTTGGGGAGAGAATCTGAGGAAGGGGAAGTATTTTTAAAGAGTGTGCTTTCTTTTTTTCCCATTAGCTGGAATCCGGAGTTCCTCTCCCAAGCCCTATGGATTTAATGTACAAAATTTTGGTGAAAAATAAGAAGAAATCACACAAGTCGTCAGAAGGAAGTGGCAAAAAGAAGCTCTCGGAACAAGCTTCCAACACGTACAGCGACTCTTCCAGCGTGTTCGAGCCCTCGTCGCCTGGAGCCGGTGAGGGGCTGGCGAGCTCTCTGTTCTCTTAGTGTGCGTGGGTTTGAGGATCCCTGCTCTAGAATTAGCTTAGAAGCAGCTCTAACACTTCTGTTTGGGAACAGATCTAACGGAATTGGCTTCCTTTCGCTGCTACAAACCTGGTGGCATAAAACTACACGATGCCTCGGCCCCCAGTGCAGGCCACACAGTCTGAGTAGTGTCCCTGGGCTAACAGCGGGGGCTGCGGGGCTGCCTTCCTCTCTGAGGACTCTAGGAAATCCTGTTCCACGCTCTCTCCACTTTCAGAGGCCACCCACGGTCGTGGGCCAGTGGTCCCACTCCTTGGACTTCAAAGCCAGCACTGTCACTTCCCACTGGCCTTTCTGTCATCACGTCTGCCTCTGATCACAGTCAGGAAGGTCCTCTGTTTTTAATGACTCATGTCTTTACACTGGACCCAATGGGGTAATCCAGGATAATCCCCCGCCCCCATCTCAAAGACCTTAACTCAATCTCTCCAGCACAGTCTCTCTTGCTGTGTGTTCACAGGACATGTATTCACAGGACACAGAACACAATCACAGGACATGGACGTTTGGGGGAGGCCATGATTCTGGCTACGACAGAAGCCAAGTAATCTTTGGAGTGGCCTCATCATGGTTTTGAGTTTCTGAATGGCAGTGACTCCTTGGCATTAATTATAGGACTAGGCATAATATGTCCGCATTCTCGCTAATTATGCTGAAGAGTTCTGGGCAATTCAATTTATCCATATTTTAAAGAGCTCTATTAAAATGTAAAATGGTAAAGATATTTGAATTATCTATCAAAGCTACTAGGTAATGCTTAACATTGATAATTTCCCTTTTAGATTTAATTTCATGTAGATTTCTTGTGGTTCATAAAAAAGATTTCAAAGTGCTCACCCACTTTCTCAGAATTAGTTGTGATAGTTAGTCAAATTGATTTTCCAAGTTTAGTCAGAAGAATCTAGGCAATCTGCAAACTCCAGGGTAAAGATCTGGTTGGAGGGTAGACACGTGAAGGAGACTTGAGTCTAAGAGGAAGCTCTTCAGTGAAAAGTTTAGCTGGCTTGGAGCAGTCACTTTGGAAAACTGTTTGGCAGTATCTACAAAAGCTGAACATGGGAGGTCCCTGTGCCCCAGGAAATTCTGTCCCTGTTCCTAGGTACATACCCAAGAGAAATACACATAACTTCTCACCAAGAGACAGCAGCACTTATTCAGAGTAGCCACAAACAGAAAGCCAACCAAATGCTCATCAGCGAGGAAGTAAAAATCATGGTACATTCACATCATGGAGTGATACGCAGCGATTATGATCCACACCTGGAAACAATAATATAAATAAATCTCAGAAACATAATGTTAAACAAAGGAAGCCAGATCTTAAGAGTACTGTATGATTCCTTTTATGTGAAGTACAAAATCGAGCACTAACCTATGTCATTAGAAGTCAAGAAATGGTTACTACCATTGGTGAGGAAGTAACTGGGAGGGACCCACGGGGGCTGCTGGAGCCTGTTTTAGTTTGTTTCTTGATCTGGGTACTGGTTACTAAGGCTGGTTTAGTTGGTAAAAATTCATTGTACTGAACGCATGTGGTATCTATACTTCTCCGTATACCTATCATATGGCAATTTAAAGATTTAAAAATAATTTTAAAAAATACAAACTCTGTGGAAATCAGGGGAAAAAAGTTGGCCAAAACTCTGATTTATTTTTTCTTCCATCTTTCCATGCTAAGTGTCAGTTTAAAAATCTTTATCAACAAACATTATATAATTCAAATCCTTATCAATAGATATTATATAATTTCTTGAAACTTTTTTTTTGGTAGTTCTTCAATGGGTATTTCAAACTGTTACACAATTCTCTTTTTTTCAAAAATAACTTTCATTCTCAGTAAGAATGTTTTTCTGAACCTCTGGAACGCACACCATTAACCGGCCGTCCATGTCCTAGCACAGCCCCATCCTTGAATGCTTGCAAATAAGCCCTGTCTTCCTCTGCGTGGGGGGAGGGCTCCGCTCACCATCTGCCGTTCCCACTCCCTGCTCTCGGCCTCCGATTAACCGGATGCAAACACAAATAACGATTTTTACAGGCACTGAACATTATTGCTTAATACAGAGAAAGAGCAGCAATCTGTTAGTAATTCAGTAGATTTCCTAAAAACAAGCCGCAGTGTCTGTTGAGCAATCTTAATTTCAGTGGAAAATGTTGGACATTTTAATACATAGGTAGGCCCCTGAATACAGAACACTGATCAATTACCACTTGGTTTGTAGATGTTCTTGGTACTGGGGAACTCAGGTAATTTGAAAACCGTGAAATGGTTCTTATTTCAAAGCTAGTTTACTACTGCTCACGGCCCCCATTGGCTGAGTGCCTTTTCCAGGTCCCGGCACTTTGCCAGCACAAGTACCTTAAAAAACTAGGGTAAAATAAGATTGTTTTTCATGGTTCAATGAGATTCCTCCAAAGTCCCTCTAAAAACTTATGATGGGGAAATCAGGTCCCTGCTCACAGAGCAGAAGACAAGGATGGGCCCCCTCCCATAACCACAGAATGACCTGGTTGAGAATTAGGAATGACATGTGTAATGTTGTGTCCCGTGTAGCATTGTGCAGAAGGCTGTCTGAAACAACTCTTTAAATTACTTGACAAAAAGAATCCCATCCCAATTAAAAAAGCAAAAAAAAAAAAAAAAGTTACTTGGGAAAAGAACTTGGGGCAAGAAATCTGATTGTTTTAAAAATGTGTCAGCTTCCTAAAAGAATGTCTTTAGCACATTTTTCTATCTAAAATATAATGGATTTGCCTTACAACTAACACAGTATCACATCATAAAGTGGTCATATGTGGCTGTCTTTAATAAACAAGCCATAAGTAATCTTTGTTGATGCCCAAATTCTCTTCCCTTTAAAGATATTTCATGAGTACTTTGCACACTGCTGCCATTTGGTAATTGATTCAACTTCATTGGGCACATGAAAACAGTCCCCAACTTCTTGCAAGACAGTGCTGGGGGCACTGTCGATGTAGATTGAGTAGGGCCGCCAACTTTCAGAAGGCCCGAACCGGTCTGTGCCCGGGCACGTTGCCTCATTGTTGAGCCAACGGTGCCATCTACTGGATCGTCATGCTGTTGCACCGAGTGAACCCAGGAGTGGTCAAATGAACCAATTTAGAACCTCGTAATCTGCCCAGGAGCTCTGTAAATTCTGAACTGCATCTTGGGAGCTTTGCTCACCTGGATGTGCTCAATGATCAGAGAGGCTAACTCTACACCCTTCAGTTCAGCACTGTTGTCTTCCTTTTTAAACATGTGCAGCAATAATTCAGCACTGTGTTTCGGCCCACCGGCCCTGCATCCACCAGTGGGAGGTCCCACTGTCCTTGGCACATCTACCAACTCCATCCTTGTAATGACGGAACAGGATGGCACACACTGCTTCTGTAAAGTGACATTCTTCAAATAGTGGCTTTTCTGTGCATACTCTTGATGGCTGGTCAGTTTCACAAGTGTTCTTGAAGTGAACACGAAGATTTGAACCTCTTGATTCGCATGATTTTGTGGGGTTTTCTGGGTGAAGTGAATGGAGGATCATTTTCAGAGGTCACCTCTGTTTGCTGATAGGCAGAGCGCTGGTGAGAATATTTAACCTAGCAGAGTCATCCACCCAATCTTCAGAGAGAAAAACGGCCCATTGAAACAAGTGCATTTTGGCTAAATGTGAAACTTAATTAGGTCTCACTGAGTGAAATGTCTATGATGTAATGATTTGAACCATTTACTTGTTGTCTCCTACCTTTTCAGCAGAATTTCACAATTTGCCAAGTACTGTCTGTACATTGTTTAGGTAAGAAGACATTCATTACATGAGCCTGCAGGCAAATCATAGGGTGCAGCTGGTACCTTACAGGTGTTGCGTGGTCCGTGTGCTACCACAGCCCCACCTGCACCAGCTCCTGTCCTGTTCCTTGATTTTGGTGAGGTCCTCCGTGGCCTTGGAAAGGCAACTGCAGGGCTACTGAGCACAAGCCAAGCACCACATTGAAGAGTCAGGGTTGAAAGAAAAGAGGGAACAAAGGCAGTGATAGTTTACCTGTTTTAGGGCGATGCAGACCCTGACAGAGAATGCGTACATCAAGATGGGTACATGTACCATAGAAAACTCACTGCATATGATGCCATATTTTTTTAAGCTAAAATGTTAAGCATTTTTTATAGAATTTGTTCATTTCAAATGATATTTACAAATCAAATTTAGAAAAAAACTATATTCAAAGTGTTAGTGTAAATCTCATGATTAATAACATTTAAATATACAAAAGAATAATTTTTTAAAAAACCGTGAAAGGCCAGTTTCCATTTGGTAAATGCACGTGGTATGTGTTCTTCAAACCTGATCTGTTTGTTATGTTTATTTCATGATTTGTTATTAAAATTCTACAGGAGAAGCTGATACAGAGAGTGATGACGATGATGATGATGATGACTGTAAAAAGTCTTCAATGGACGAGGTAGGTGTCTAGGGCTTCACCTCTGGTGGCAGATGCATCCAGCTAATCAGCCTGTCCTCAGCTACCTCCGGAGATAGTTCATGGTCCTCTTCTGCCATCTAGTGGTGGAAAAGTCACAGTTCACTTTAAAACTTTTTCGCTACCCCTTTTCGAACAAGATGCCAACTTGGATCATTAATAAGCTGGGCATTGAAAAAGTTCTCTGTAATGAACAATGTTATTGAGATTTCCCTTCCATCAACTTGGGCGTCTAGAGGGCAAATTGAAAATTTGTGACATCCTACAGCCTACTTCAGTTTTTGAGGCAATTCAGTGGATTGCTAAATGGTCCAAAGTTCAGAAAAATATGACATATGGAGAAATATTCAGAAACAGGACATTAACTCCATTGTTGTATTTTAGAATCAGTAGACATGCCTACTGCTATAAGTTCAAGCATCCCAAATAACTTCGTGAGATCAGGTATATTAACTGCACAGAATTTAGAAGTGAATTAGAACTAGGTGAGTTGGAATTTTAAAACTTTGTTTTAGCAAGAGTTCTGGTTAAAAAAAAATTATACTGAATCTGCTTTCAAATATGTTGGAAAGTATCTGTCTTAGTACTTGTATCTTTGGAAATCAGTCAAGGGTAAATAACAAATAGTAAACTGTTCTTACTTGATATTCTTCCTTATAATTATTTAATGTAGTGTAAACTTTTTAATTATGTTTCCCTACTCAGTTGCAACTTGATGTCCTGGAGGAAAATTGTTATAATGTCTGCTAAAGTATTCCCACTTGTGAATTATTTTAATTATTTATTAATTCTTATCATTGATTTCTGATCATTTAAAAACTGCCTCACTAATTAGATGTTCCATTTCCAAATGAATATTTCTCAATTAACATTTAACCTAAATATTGCTACAGGAGTTTTCAAAAGAAACCTCATCTCCAAGTATTCTGTCATTTGAAAATGGGAGAGAATATTAGATCGATCTATAGAAGTCTATCCAGGCCAACACTGCTGTGTTGGATTTCTCTTTATTAAAAGCTATCAAAATAACATGGAATATCTAAAAATAGTTAAAGTAACATGATGTTTTACTATGTCTGAAGCCCTGTTCTGAAATCTTTCCCATAAATGAACTCATTTAATAACCACAAAAACCCTATATGTTACAGGAACTGATTGTATCCTAATTTTAATGAGTAAACTGAAGCACAGAGCAGCTAAATTACTTGCCCAAGATTGCACAGCCTCTAAATGGTAGGCCTGGGATTTCAATCTGGCTCTAGGACCTGAGCGGCTACCCCTACCCTGTACTGCACTGCTTACCTAATAGGCTCACAGGTACCAAGAAGGGAGGGAAGAATATTTATACAAAAAAAAAATAGTTGTGTTCCCACCCCAACCCACTTCCACAGGCAACTTTAAAAAAATAAATTCAGTCCACCTGGGGGTTACCCACATACTAATTTCCTCTTTGCACATGACTTCTTGATTTATTAACTTTAGATATCACCTGTGGCTGTCCTGCTGCGGCAGATGAAATGTAGCTCAGTGATTCTCAAACTTCTGTGTGCATTTGCATCACTGTAGTAAAATGCAGATTCTGATATACCGCATGTCCAAGGATGGGGAGGCGGATGCAGCTGGCACAAGGAGAGCCCCCCTGAGCCTCCCTGCTCCTGCCGCACACTTGGGTAACGGGGAGCTTTGCCTTGTCTTTCTCCCAGAATGAATTTTCTAATGGTAATCATCATCTTCAGAAGAGGAGGGATGCTTGTCTGTGCTCAGGGGTCACGTGATCGTTGCCCTGGGAAAATGACTCTGAATAATGTAATGTTAATTCGTTTTTATTCCTTCTTCCAGGGGACCGCAGGGAGCGAGGCCATGGCCACGGAAGAGATGTCTAACCTGGTGAACTACATTCAGCCAGTCAAGTTCGAGTCATTTGAAACTTCAAAAAGTAAGTTTTCCTGAAGAAAAATTCCTAATGTAACACATAGCAAGTGTATTTTAAACAGAGAATAATTAGTCCAAAAATACCCTTAATAGAACCATTTTTCTGTGCTGGGGAAGTTTTTAATAAATGCATGGGCTGACTATGTGGTTTATACATACATATTTTATGTACTTTATGTATATGTGTGTATATACATAATAATAACCATATGACAGAGTATTCCATGATGTTTCCCAAAATACTCCATAGGGCTACGTACAGTTAATCGAGAGTTTCACATTGGTTTTTTGCTTGCAACAGCACAGCAGCCTCCATCCACTGTACAAGGGACAGTGTTGGAATGAAATATCTGGCTTCCCCAGAAGGGAAGCAGCCAGTGACTGGTCAGCCCTGATGACTAAAAATAGAACCAGATCAACCACTTTGCCCACATTCCATTTGTTCAGCCTGTGTTTATATATTTAGGAGAATGTATGGTCACCCTCGTATCACTTTGTGTTTTTCCTCCATCCACGTGCATGTGTACAGTGGATGCAAAGAAAAATATCACCTTTTCTCCATCTAGAGCAAAGAGCCCATTCATCAAATTACCCTTCATAGTTACATAAGATATAAGATGGTATCAGGTGAAAAGATCTTTAGGACTTTTTAGCTGCTTATAACTCCATGTTCTTTACAGCTTAATTTTTGCTTAAATGCAGCAGCCTCTTATGAAGGATAGTTTTACGGTGTATAAAAATCTACGCTTCTACGTAGCACTCAGGTAAAATTGTATAATATTGCTTGAAGGTTCTTAACTTGGTATATGGTATCTACATTTCTACAATAAAGAATTTAATTCCCACTACTACTTACATATAAATATTTCAATATTTTCTTTGAAGTTAGTTAACTGATGCTACTTATTGTAAGTTATCCAATTTGAAATGTCCTAAAGTAGTTTTTTTATATAACTAATTTTTCTTGGCTATAAAAGGTTTTTCTAATTCATAAGTCACAAGCTCCTAGACAAGCAGCCAAGTTGAGAAGGAGCTGATATGTTTAAGTCCTTCAGAACCTGGGAACAATAGCATCAGCTGAAGATTTACAAACAAGTACTTTTCTCCTTGTGTTTTATATTATTTTGTCACAAATAAAATACAGCACATAGCTTACAAAGCATCTATTAAATTGCATCTGTTAATTGACTTAGTTTTAATTAGCAGTCACGGTTAAAACAGTCATATGAAAATAGACTCCATGGACATATATAAGAGAACTAAGAGTTTACCTTACAGAGGATTAAATTGTGGAAGGTGAGGAGAAGGGTAAAGGAATCTGGGAAGTATTAGGAAGAAGAATAAGGCTTTAATGATGGAAAGTGGGCATCGAAGAGGGGAAAAGGCCTCAAAGGGAACAAAACTTAACAGCTGAGCGCTGGCTGGCAGCTCTGTGCGGCCCTGGTCTCTCCGTGCTGTGTGCAACTGTTCCATTCTTAGCTGGGGGAGGACAGAGAAGCCGCACGGCTCCCAGCCCCTCCAAACCAGGGTAGCTTTGTTTCCGCTCTCCCACTCTAACTGGAAGCTTGGATTTCACTTCTGAAATGTTGCTCTCTAGTGCATTCACCTCTCAACCTTGTTGTCTAATCGGAAAATGAGGCCATCAGACGGGGAACTTTCCAAGGGTCCTTTTGCTTTGAAACACCTTAATTCTAATGTCACATACATTAGTTGTTGAGGTGAGGCAGTGACAATGTGGGTATAAAAGAAAGAGCCTCTAGCAAATATACCCATGGTCTCTATAGTTAATCCCAGCAACGGCCCCCAGAAATCAATCTGAATGGATTGCAAGCAAAAGATTTCCACGGGCCTGTGCTCTTTGGACGAAACAGCCGTCATTGCCACACTCCCCACGACTAAAACTGATTTCCCCACCCCGGTGACACCAGGTCCCTGACTTGTGCAACTGTAGGCACATCTGACCCAGGTAGTAAATACTGGAAGAGACAACTAACAAGACTGAACTTTTGTAGCAGATAAACAGTTCCCTGAAGTATATGTGTATAAAAGTTACATTGAATATTAATCTCCCTAAATTCACTGAACATGCGCCTACTTCTTATATGTTATCATTTAAATGCTGAATGTTATCTCTTACTTTTTTTGTCACCAACTCAGAGAGAAATAGAAGTTTCGAAATGTCTTCCTTCGTGGAAACCAAAGGCCTTGAGCAGCTGACGAAGTCTCCGGTGGAATTTGTGGAGTATCCTTGATTAGACGAATGCTGACTGAGTTGGCACAACTGAAGCCATGCGCTATTTAATTTCTGTTTTAAATAAGCAAAATGATGCATGAAATGGCTTCAGTCTGTCACATGGGCATGATAAATAGGTTCACATACATGTGCATTACTGAGTAGGGGTAGCTTGGCATATTTAAAAGAAAACAGCTTTGGAGTAAAGGATTTCAAGATTATTTTCTTACCCTTAAACTCTTTGTCCTTTGTCAATTTGCTTCATCTCCTGAATTCTCTCATCTGTAACACAGGAATAATGATGCCAGCTTTATGGCTCACCATTTGCATTAGGGACAACATACATAAAGTGTGTGTGTGTGTGTGTGTGTGTGTGTGTACAAGACATATATACCTAACTTGGCATCTTGCATCCTTGGACACATAATAGAGCTCCAATCAAAAAATAGTGGAAGTAATTATACAAGTATATAAATTTACTAATAATAATTTAGTTGATACTTCTGACAATAAAAACCTATGAACCAAAATGAAATAGTTCTTTAAATATTTTTCATAAAATTAATATTAAATGCCCAAAAATGCTCAATTTCATGAAGCAAGTTCCAGAATTTTTAAGAAATCTCCTTTAAAACTCACCACAGGAGAGAGAACAAATGTAAACTTCATAAACAGCTGCACTATAAAAATCATTATCATTCGTATTTCATGAGGTGCTGTCTGTGTGATTGACCTTTTGTTATATGTCTCACTGTATTTAATCCTCACAATAGCCCTACAACATAGGAATTGTTCAATCTGTTTTATAGATGAGGAAACTGAGGCACAGAAAAGTGAAATAACTTGTCATAGATCATATATGTAGCTAGCAAGTCCAAACTCTACTCGGCCCCGTCCCAAAGCCTGAGCTCAGAAACTACTAACCTCTGCCTAACTTGGTCATGGGAATAGTACGTCATACTCTAAACACATAGATGTTGTTTAATAACCAAAAAATCCTCGGGGTGGAAAACTGAGGATGGTAGGATCCCAAATACAAAACAAGGTCAAAACCTTCAGTGCTATATTTATACCTTGCTATTAATCATAAGAAGTGCCACAACCATGACAAACAGGGTTCCCAGAGAAGGGCGAGGAAGTGAGCAGAGAGCATCTCACACGCAGCCATGCGGGGCCTGTATCTGCCTCTGCCCCACTCGACTGACATCCATGAGCTTCCTCATGCGTCTTTAATCATTAAGCCTCTGCTTAATAATCTGCACAAATCACGTTGGCTTTGACTCAGCCATTTTTGCTGCCTATTAGTTTTCACCTACAAGACTCTGCAAAGGTGACGCTACATTTATGTTGTAAAATCACGTTACTCTGTTTGTTCAGCAGGGTTTTTGCGTATTTCACCCACTAGCCCAGTGAAATCATCAATACTTCATTCATTTCCCTAGTGGAGAAAGATGGAAGGTGGTTTCTCAGTTAATATTATTAGCTAAGTCTTCTTATAATTGTATTCACTACTTAACATGATGGTCCAGATATAACAAAATGCAGCTTAGCAGGATCTATCCAAAAGGAACACGTGTCGACTCATCCAACTATATGCCGCAGCTTTTCTGGAATGCAGGCTGTCAGATGGTTGCCCTGAATTTCCAAACAGTGGGTAAGTAGCACAGTTCATGCTCATTTCTGTTGTTATGAAGCTGCATTTCCAAGAGTCCAAAACCCATACCCAAGGAGAGAAAATTGCCAGACTTGATTGAAACAATAAAAGCAAATTTCAATAAAGGAAATACCAATGCAAAAAGAAAGTGAATTTTGCAAACTGAGCAATTGTCTTCTAAGTAGTTTACAAACAAATCTTAATTTTTACTGGTTTTTGCTTTATTTTTAAAGTATTGGTTTTTATTGATTTTATAGAAAGAGAAAAATGTCAATTTGTTCGACTTATGTGTGCATTCACTGGTTAATTCTTGCATGTGCCCTGACCCAGAAAAAAGCCCATGACCTTGAGATATCGAGAGGGTGCGCTAACCAGATGAGCTTCCTGGCTAGGGCTGCAGTATTTTAAAACAAACATTTTTAGACTTTTTAAAGTAATATGTACTTAATATAGCACATTTGGAAAAGTAAAAAATGTATAAAGAGAGAATAAAACTTTTTAAAAATGCTACCACTCAGAGATACAGCACTGTTAACTTTTGGCCTTCTAATCTGTAAGGTCTTTAAGCCATGTATATATAGTTTTTTCCATGTATATATTTAAGTGCTATACAGAAATATGAATTTTATTATCTGTATATTAAGCACATTTCATAATTCACTAAAACCCATTTCATATCACAAGAACATCAGAGAGTTGTTCTACTGTAAACAATGCTCTGAGAACAGTCTTAAATATAAATTGTCAAGTCTGTCTCCTAATGTTCTTTTGGAAATGTTCCTGAGACAGAATTACTCTCTTAAAAGATGTGAAAGTCTTAAGAATGTTTTGCAAAATGCCAAATTGTTCATCAAAATATGTTGCACCAGATTTCTTTCTTGTCAACCACATATGATGGGAGATGTTTCTGTTCGTCTGAGATCTTTGTTAAGTGTTATCATTAAATAATAATAATTCACTTTCAGACAAAGCATTATCATTTTGCTGTTGTTTCAATTCTATTTCTTTGATTATTATTGAGGTGAAGCTTTTTAAGGGTGTGGATTTAAATTTTTTATATTCTGCTTTTATGAATGCGTTTTATATTTCTGCCTTTCTGAATGACCCATTTAGGCCTATTGTCAATTTCCCTGTTCTTTTGTAACAGCACTTTTTACATGAAGGGCGTGTTTTCTTATTTTGTGGAACAGGTGAGATTAGACTGGTTAATGTTTTCATATGGAATCTCGGATTGCTTTTGTGATGACAGGCCTCCCCTCCCCCAGGATCAGATTCATATTTACTTCTATTACTTTTGTGTTTTTTTAGTTGTAATTTTACCCTTTCACCTATTTAATCTCAGTAAGGTATCAATCCTTTCTTATACTGACCTGGAGTTACAGGAGAAACTTAATAGTTTCAACCTTTTGCGTCATTGTTAGCTTGGGTCCATTTTTTCAGTTTTTATTATTTTCCATTAACAAATTTGTCTGCTTTCTGGAACCAAAACCTTACTGTTATTATAGTGTTTAATAAATGGTTTAATACTTAGAAGGGGAAGTTCTCCTTCAGGGCTGATAATTTTCATTTCTTTTCTTGCCATTGCCTCTAGGATTCTTGTTTCAAATGAATTTGATTTAATCGTTATCATGTTTCCCTTTCCTCCACCAAAAAAATGATCCTTTTATTAAAATCACATTAAGTTTAATTGTCATTATGTGTTCTTCATCCCTCAAAAAGACAGATGTGATTAAATTACATTAAACTTATAAATTCATCTGAATAATTTATCTTTTAATTTTTCTTATGACAGAAAAAATGTTTTTCTCTTCACTTAAAATATCCTTATATTAAGTCCCTTTGCAAAGTCCCTTGTCTTCATGAGCAGTCTAGCTTATCGTTAACAGTATATCTCTCTTTTTGAACATTATATTTTTTAAAGATTGTTCCTGGACATTAATATTTGTATGTTTATTATGTAAATAAATTTTGTTTATAAATTGTAATCTTCCTAAACTCCTATAACTGCCTATTTTGCCAGTATTGAAGTTTTCAGATACAAAATCAAATAATTTTATCACATCTACTTTTCCTCCCTTCTTAGAACTTTGTACTGATTGTTCTAAAATAATATTAAATAACAGTATTGAGAGTTGCTCCTTTCTCTTCATCTTAAAACTAATGGGAATTCTGCTGTCATGATCCCATTGAATAGATGTTGGCTATGACTTTGAGACAGATATTCTTTCACGCATTAAAGGAGTATACACATGTCCTAATGACTACAAGTGTATTAGGAATTTATGTTAAATATTATTAAATGTCTCTGACTTCTATTGGTTTGATGATATGTTCATTTCTTATTCTGTAGGAAAACATGATAAATTATATTGACAGATCTCCTAATATTTAGTTACCCTTGTGTTCCTGTGATAAATTCTATTTATTTGTTGTGTATTGTTTTAAAGTATATTTAATTGATTATGCTATTAGAGTTGTCCCATTTTCCCTCTTCTTCACCCCCTCCACCCAGTGCCCCCATTCCCTCAAGCAGTCCCCACTTAGTTCATGTCTATGGGTCACACATAGAAGTTCTTTGGCTTCTCTATTACAGATACCATTCTTAACATGCCCCTATTTTGTACCTACCAATTATGCTTCTTTTTTTAAAGATTTTATTTATTTTATTTGCATAGAGAGAGGAAGGGAAGGAGAAAGAGAGGTAAAGAAACATCAGTGTGTGATTGCCTCTCACGTGCCCCCTACTGGGGACCTGGCCTACAACCCAGGCATGTGTCCTGATTGGGAATCGAACCCGTGATCCTTTGGTTGGCAAGCCAGCACTCAATCCACTGAGCCACACCAGCTAGGGCCCAGTTATTCTTCTTAATCCTTGCACCTTTTCTCCCATTCTTCCCCTTCCTTCTCCCCATGGATAAGCTTCCATGTAATCTCCATTTCTCTGATTTTGTTTCTGTTCTAGTTGTTTGCTTAGTTTGTTTTTGTTTTTTTAGGTTCAGTTGTTGATAGTTGTGAGTCTGTTGTCATTTTACTGTTCATAGTTTTGATCTTTTTCTTAGGTAAGTCCCTTTAACATCTCATATAATAAGGGCTTGGTGATGATGAACTCCTTGAACTTGACCTTTTCTGGGAAGCACTTTATCTGCCTTTCCATTCTGATTGCTTTGTGAGATAGAGTAATCTTGGATGCAGGTTTTTGACTTTCAGGACTATGAATACTTTTTTCCAGCCCCTTCTTGCCTGTAAGCTTTCTTCTGAGAAATCAGGTGATAGCCTGATGGGAACTCCTTTGTAGGTAACTGTCTCCTTTTTTCTTGCTGCTTTTAAGATTCTCTCCTTCTCTTTAATCTTGGGTAATGGAATTATGATGTATCTTGGTGTGTGCTTTCTTGGGTCCAACTTCTTTGGGTCTCTCTGAGCTTCCTGGATTTGTATATCTATTTCCTTTGCCAGATTAGGGAAGTTTTTCTTCATTATTTTTTCAAATAAGTTTTCAATTTCTTGATCTTCTTCTTCTTCTGGCACCCCTATGATTCAAATATTGGAATGTTTAAAGTTGTCCCCAAAGTTCCTAGGCCTCTCATTTTTTTTAATTCTTATTTCTTTGTTTTATTCTGGTTGAATGTTTATTTCTTCATTTTGTTCCAAATTGCTGATTTGAGTCCTAGTGTCCTTCCCTTCATAGTTGGTTCCCTATATAATTTTCTTTATTTCCTGTTGGATAGCCTTCACTTCTTACTTTATTTTGCAGCTATACTCAACCATTTCTATGAGCATCCTGATTACCAGTGTTTTGAACTTTGTGTCTGATAGGTTGGCTGTCTCCTCATTTCTTAGTTCTTTTTCTGGAGGTTTTTTAAATTTTTTCTTTATTGATTTTAAAGAGAGAAGGGAAAAAAGAGTAAGAGAGAAATAGAAACATTAATTTGTTTTCCACTAATTTATACACTCATTGGTTGATTCTTGTCTGTGCCCTGACTGGAAATTGAACTTGCAACCTTGGCATATTGGGCTGATGCTCTAACCAGCTGAGCTAACAAGCCAGGTACTTTTTCTGGAGTTTTGATCTGTTCTTTCATTTGGCCCATGTTTCTTTGTCTCAGTGCATCTGTTATGCTGTAAGGAGCAGAGCCTTAGGTAGTCACCAGAGTGGGGCAACTGTATGTGTCACTGTATGTGGGAGAAGGGTCAGAGAGGGAACAGTGCTACTTGCTCAGCTCTTGATCTGCTTTCAGTCACTTTTCCCCACTTCCCACAAGCAAATTCTGCTCTTCCAGGTGCTGCCCTGGTGCTTATTCAGGGTAGGTGGGCTTGTGTATATTCTAGGACCCCATGGACCCCTCCAATGGAATCTCCTGTGAGACTGTCAGTTTCTCCCACTGCTGCAACCACCACATGTTTTTATAGCCAGAGGTTTTGAGGTTTTATTTTCCAGGCACTAGATCCCTGGGTTGCATGGTCTGTCTCACTCCTCAGTTATTCCTCCAGTTTATCCACACGTGAATGTGGGACCACTCAGTCCACCAGCCACCACCTTGCCGCGCATCCTCTCTTCCCCAGTTGCTCATCTCTGTCCTTTTTACCAGTTTGGATGAATGTTTTTTCCTTAACTTCTTGGTTGTCTGACTTCCATATGGTTCAATTTTCTGGCAGTTCTGGTTGTTATTGTTGTTTTTTATCTTAAATTCGTTGTTATCATTCTTTTGGTTATGCAAGGAAGCTAAGAGTATCTACCTATGCCTCCATCCTGGCCAGAAGTCTCTGTTGTGTATTATTTTAAAAAACATATGATTTACACCCTTGCCAAGCAGTTTAGTTACTTGGAGCATCATCCCCTATACCAAAAAGTTGTGGGTTTGATTCCATGTCAAGATACATACCTAGGTTGTAGGTTCAATCCCCAGTTGGGAACTGTATGGGAGGTAACGGATAGATGTCTGTCTGTCTGTCTGTCTGTCTGTCTCTCTCTCTCTCTGTATGTGTGTGTCTCGCTCTCCCCTCCCCCTTTCTCCTTCTCTGAAATCAATAAACATATTCTCAGGTGAGGATAAAAAATAAAATCAAAAACATTATGATTTGCTAATGTAAATTTTCTAGGTTTTTGGAGTTAGTTTTTCTCAAGCCCACAATTTTCTTTTCTTTAGTTTCGTTCAGTTTTAGTCTGACAGTTATAATAGCTTAATGGCATGAAAGATAAAATTTTACTTATTTTCCCTGCTCTAACAGTAATTTGTTTCATGAAACTTTGAAATATGTCTACTATCACCTCCTTATTGTCCAGCCCAACAGAGATGAGTTGGAATAAATAACAGCTTCTCAGATTTCTGATGACTTTAAAATGTGTTTCTTTTTTTAACCCCAGTAATTACAATTAGTGTGGACATTCATTTCATACAGTCTTAGAAGCCTCTGACCAGTAATCTTTGTTCACTACAAATGAATCAATGTGTAATTAAATATTGGTGGTAAGTAATCAAAGGAATGAGAAATTTTTAAAGGAAACTTTTTTTCCTATACATTAAAAAAGAAAACTCACAGCACCCACTATTGGCGTGATGTGGAGAGTCCATCATGAAAAATGGATTCAAGTTTTGAAGTGCTTTAAGATTTCTGAAAGACATTTTAGTAAGGTTTATCTAAAAGCTTTTCCGAAATGCGTATCTTGACCCAGAAATTTCACTCCTAAGACTATCATTAATGATATCCTCAAAGACTTCCTCACAATGATATTCATCCAAGCAATATGCCATGGTGACAATTTAGAAAAGACAAATTTTCCCAAAGAGGGGCTTGGATTAATACATGTATTCAAATGTTATTCAAACAATTTTATATAACTGTTAAACTGAAACAGACAAACATTTGATGAAATGTACATATGGCATGTTCATAATGCATCTAAAGTAGTAAAACAGAATATGCACCCACCTGTTGGTAGTGGCTTATCTCTGGATTTGCAGATTAGAGCTCAGTTTTTCTTCATATATGTATTTTCTAAATTTCTGTAGTGAATAGATATTTCTTTTTAAAGAGGGAACAAAAGTGGACTATGATACAACCTTTATTTCTTCCTGCAAAGATGAACAGTCACAGTAAGGTTTCTGTTTGCTGTGTAGACCTGGCTATGCAGATAAACATGGGGATGTATGAATACAATGGGAAGAGTGGCTACAGACTGAAGCCAGAGTTCATGAGGAGACCCGACAAGCATTTTGATCCGTTCACGGAAGGCATCGTTGATGGCATAGTGGCCAACACTTTATCTGTTAAGGTATGTACATCTCTGCTATAAAATTGTCCCCAACAAAAGTCTTGAATAGGACCTATTTTGCTTAAATTAAGTAGTTTAGTCATCAAAAATGTACTTGCCAACAAAGTCTCAACTTCCTTTATACTTTTTTTAAAGGACTGAATCCAAATTACCTGTGTTTTGCTGCATATAATATACACCCACATTTTTGGCCCAAAGTTTCAGGGGAAAAAAATCTTTTGTTTTAATTTTTACATTCAATTATTTATTTATTTATTTTAGATATTTGTTTTTTGTATTACAAAGGAATTTTAGCATTTATATTATGGTACAAGAAATTTTATGTAACAAATAGTTAAAAAACACAAGAATAGACATAAGTTATTGCAGGTACTACCCATTTATAATGCACATCCATATTTTTCCTTCAAAAAATTTGGGCAAAAAGTGTTTATTATACATGGCAAAATATGGTCGAAATTTTCAGAGGTTACATGTCCTGCAGGAGAAATCCTGTTCTTCTTCTTGATGCAGTAAAGAACTACTGCATCAGCAAGATCAGCAAGTCTATTAACATGCAAGCTGTATGTATTACTGAACACTAACCCATTCTCATGGAAGAGAATGAGCCTTGCTCAGGTGGGCAAGAAAGGCAGAGGTTCAGAGCAAAGCAAGGCAAGGGCAGCCCAAAGGCCTCTGGTCCTTTGTTCTGAGGACTTACATAGTTGGCAGAATGGGGTGAAAGAAGTTACATATTGATTGACTAGTAAAGGTGGTGCCAGCTTTCATGGGGGAATGTGACTACCCTAACTTAGGTATATGTGGGGGTCTGTTAGCCCAAATGCTAATTTTGCTCCAAACCCCAATTGTTAATCTTGTTGTAAAACAGATGTGTGACAGGAGGAAGTTAATTAAAGTTGAGGCAATTACCCAAAGTTACTTATGGGCTCTTTCTGAAAGCATTAGGGTCCCCCTCGTGAAACAGATAGGCAGTTAACCAAAGTTGTTTTATGGGCTGCTTCTTTGGGCACCGTGGACCTCCTCCTCTTCCCGCTCCCAGGCCCTGGGATGAGAGCACAGTTTCAAAGGCTCTCTTTCGCAGGTAGTGGAAACAATACATAGAATTTCAAGGCCTGACCTCTTTCAGCATTAGCATGGTGTTTCCTGTGATGTTGGAGCACCTGGCAATATTATCGGACCAGGCTCAGGATGCTGAGTTAGTGGGTGAGACACGTCTCCCTCCTCCTCCCTGCCTTGGTTTGCTATCTACCCTAACCAAGCTAATACCTGCAGGAGATAAAGGGTTAACAGGTTAAAAATTGGGCCCTAACCAATAATTCAAGTTGGAGGCTAGCCCATTCTTTGGTGTAAATATCCCAGCAGTGAATTTACCACAAAAATTAGTGCTCTATATTGGAAAAATCTTCTGGCCTTTTTTTTTCTCTATTAATTCTACAGAAATATCCACACTGAACAAAATTAGAGAAAGAAAATATTCTTCATAAATTGTCATATATTGAATAAAAGCTCTAAATTCAGTATAGCATAGATCTGAAAATCTATCAGAGTATTCAGGGATTTAAAACACATATTAAATTAAAAATTGCTTTAATAACCATTCATCTGACCTTAAAAAATTAATTTTAAATGATTTCTGCTGTCTTTGAAATTGATGTTACAGCAAATATAATTTTTTTAGCTCTGAGAAAATATTTTTAATACCATGAATGGGAAATAATTTTTATAAAGAGCTTTTTACATAAATTCTGTAAGCTCCTGGTTGTTTTAGCTAAATTTTATTACTTTTTAAAAGTTTTATTTATTTTTGGTTTTACTGGATAACTATTAACTGAGGACCATTTTTATTGGATATCAGTTCAATTTTTCAATTAACCCTACACCAAAGGCATATGAAAAACTATATTTAAAAAGGCTCTGTAATAGTTTCACTAATTTATATCCGCTTGTTGAGCCCGTTTTTACTTTACAGTTTGTCAGTTTATACCAAAGATTAGAAATAAAATTTCAGTGACATCTCTCACAATTATTTCTTTTGAACTTATTCCACAGCATATATCTGAAGAGTGGAGTTGGCAGAATTAGAGCTCCAAGATTATATTTATTTTAGGAAGTTATCTTCCACAAAGGATGTGCAATTCCTGTCATTCGATTAAGATATACTCTTAAGCATTACGCGCTGATAAAATGTTATTTTTAAAATTCTTTTCAATTGTTGTTATAGTTGGGTCAAACTAAGGTTTTATCTTTGCTGATTCATCTTATTTTGTGCATGTTGGCTTGCTCTTTTATGTTTTCTTGAACATTCTATTGTGGTGGCATAAGCACTTATAAAACAATGACACAGAGACAGGAAAGTAAGTTGAGGGGATACTGTGGAGCCCCAGAAAATCGTGCACTGTTGCCTGGGTGCTGAATGGAGACACCATTCTAGAGTTGCCAGTGCCCCATGAACAGACGGCTGTGCCGCGGCAGAGCCCTGCATTTAACCTTGCCGCTGGAACCACAATGAAGTGCAGACACTCTGGGGGTGCCTGTGTTCTGATCCTCCAACGTGGACTTTGTGGTGCCGGAGGGGACTTGTGGGCTCAAATGCTGTGCCGCCATCATCTCAGTGACAAGAGACGAGGGTTAGTTCAAAACTTCTGCTTTGACCAGTCACCGTAAACACGCAGAAGCACTGGGGCCTCCAAATTCCCCTGTGACTCATAGAACTCGTAGGTGTCAGACATGTAAAATGTCTGCTAAGTACTTCTCATGTAGAACCTCAAATTAAACAGAGATGGTTGCTAGCAGGTGTCATGTATTCAGACTAAAGAGAACGTTCAGGAGAAATGAGTTGTCCCAGGACAAATTCAGACAGCCTCTACCTCACAGCTCTCCATCTAAAGTGTTGGGAATGTTTGGCCACTTCAGTATTCAGCTGACTTTGGCCTCACTCACCCTCTGACGGCCACTCTCAGGCTGCCATTGTGTTTGATTTCTGACTCAGTCATAATCTTGGCAAGTCTGCCCCTTTCACTGACTAGAGCCCAGAAAGCCCATGGCCAGCAGGCAGCTTTGTCAGCCAGACCAGCCAGACTCGCGGGTTGCCCATCAGCACTTGCTTTGCTGCTGCCTCTCTGGTGTGAAAGCAGAGGGCGCCTTTACTTGCAATCCCGAGGGTGGCTCAGATTTTGAAAATTGGGTGAGAAGAAGAGGCAGACAGGGGAGACATCTTATAAATAGGTAATTTTAAAATCTCTTTTAACTCCACAATGTGTGATCATTTTATACCTAGGCAAAGGATACCCACAGTTGTGCGGATGGCTCACCAGGTGAGGTTGGGAGTGGTGCCAAATTGGGCTTGGTGGCTTAACGTCCGTATTTGTCAGTTTGGGTTTTCAATTATCATTGTGGCTTTTTATTTAAAGCGTAACAACTTTGAGAGTTGGAATATCACAGCATCACAACCACTCCTTCAAGTTAAATTGTATGAACAACAGGACATTTTTTTAAATGCTAGGGTTTTTATTTGTTATATTTTAAGTTTGTACTCTTAAATTGCCTTTTCATTTTATTTATAATTATGCTAAAATCAGAGTTTATCTCTTGTAACATTTTTAATTATTAGGAAAACCTTTAACCTCATTTGGCTCTAAAGACCAAACTTCCATTTAATAGATGTAGCTGAAGTACAAAAGGCAGAAACTTCATCTGACTTTTTATACCTGTTCATTTATTTCCTCCTCTACAACTTTGCCTACTGACTCCTGCGGAGCCCAGCACTTGCAGTGTTCCTCTCCTAATTCTTTAGCTGAAAGAGAAATCATATTTGTACACTTGCTTCTGCCTATCGTTCAACATTCACCATCAGCACTTGTACCTCCCAAACGTATTTCTCACCTCACTATTGTTCATTTATCAAGACCTCCTTTTTTATTACTTTCTAGATTATTTCAGGCCAGTTTCTTTCTGATAAGAAAGTCGGGACCTACGTGGAAGTGGATATGTTTGGCCTGCCTGTGGACACGAGGAGGAAAGCACTGAAGACCAAGACATCGCAAGGAAATGCTGTAAACCCGGTCTGGGAAGAAGAGCCCATTGTGTTCAAAAAGGTCAGTTTCGTGTCCTTGACATGACACGGAGTGGGTATTCCAGGTGTCTGACACTGAGAAAAAAATTAAAAAGAAGAATTTTTTGTTGCTTAATTTGGGAATTTATACATTAATAAAGCAATAGCATTTTCAAAGCTCTCTTGAAAAAAAAAACTAGTCAAGATCTATGTGAATTACTTGTTTGGAATTTCAGAAGTATATTATAAATCAACTAATTCTAGTATACCTGATTTGGAAGGCCAAAATAACATATAAATCTAACTTGTATCCTCTCGTAATACAAGTGATACATAATTTCATTATGATTCAAATGAAGTAGAGTGGGAAGTAAGGTATAATATGGTAGTTGAGAGAAAGGAAGGCCATACTTACTTAAAAAAGAGTATTAATTAAATTCCCTAGAATCTCTGGCCACTGGGAGCTGGCCATTCCATATTATCTGGGTTCTGTTTGACCCAGTAAAAAACCTTTCATATTCAACTGGGCCCACTCTCTGCCTTCCCCACAAAAGCAAATCTTTTCCCCATATTTTATCACACAAAGGAAGTCTTTCCTATGATAGACTTTCTCACCATGCCCTTTGCTTTTATCTGGCCAAAGTATCTACAAAGGAAGTCTTCTGCCAAGAGAATGTCTATATTGAAGGTCTCTGTGCCCTAGTGTTTTTTATGTTAATTGGATTTAATAGTTATTGTAAATATTTCCTAATTCACTGAAAACGTTTAGAAAATGCCCGGCACATCAAAAATAATAAATGTGGGTTCGCTCTTGCTAGCAAAAGTAAGTTTTTAAGGATACAATTGGTCTAGTGCTTTTGACCTGGGATATAACTCTGCACTCCACGTGTTTTAATATTGAGGGGAAAATGTGCCGTTACTTGGTGCCTCATTTGGGATTTTACAAATGTATAAAGCAACCTCTTTGAAAGCTAACTTATTTTTGGTTTTTTTGTTTTGAAAATATGCAAGTAATTTGCTTTGAAAATACAGTAGCAAATGCTTAAACAGTGATAAGACCACTAAGTCTTTATAGTTAAACACAGGACTTCTGTCATCTCCACGGTGAAAATATTCATGTCAAAAGCAAATGGTCTGAGTGCTGAACAAATTCTTCTTTAGGAGAAAGTGATGAAACACAGCTAAAGCAGTAACTCTGGTAACACTTCTCCTTTTGAAAATTTAAATTATAGAACAACAACTTGTTGCCAGTTCGCCAAGTAGAAGCTTCTGGTTCGGTTTGGAAAAGCAGGGCCCATGTGAATAATGTCTTTCTGATTCTTTTCTGGAGTGGCTCCTTCTTGTAACCACATGCATCCCCACTGCCTCTCTAGGTGGTTCTTCCTTCCCTGGCCTGCCTGAGGATAGCAGTTTATGAAGAAGGAGGTAAATTTATTGGTCACAGGATCTTGCCAGTGCAAGCAGTTCGGCCAGGTACGGATAGATAGTACGGTGAGAAACTTTGTATATAAGTTGTAAAGAAAACCATCGCTGCCTTACAGGATTACTAAAGAATGATTTGGGAGGCTACTTGTTGCTTTGGTTATTTTGTCCAATAACAAGGGCTCTAAGACTATTTAAATCTGGCAGTTTCGTACCTTTGTTTCATGCCTTTGTGACGTGCTATGCTGTCTAAATCAACCCTTGCCACAATGATTGTATAATAATTATGTATAACAAACTATGTGAAACCTCAGTAGCTTATCACAAGTATTTGTCTTGAGACTCTCGGGTCCCTGGGCTAGCAGGGTTTGCCTGGGCTTCGCAGTGTGCTTCAGGCTGTGGGCCGGGTTAGGACTGTTCTACGCGTGCTCACCGAGGGGCCCAGGATGACGAGCAATCGGTGCCTGGTATGGGCCTCTCCTGACAGCCGCTGGAACGCACAGAACAAGGTGACTATGCACGTGCATTCTAAGCCTCTGCTTGCACATCACTGAGGTCCCATCGTCCAGAGCACAGCATATGCCTAAACCCCAAGTGAAGAAATCATATACGAGGGACAAATTTAGATCAATAATTCAGCCTATGACACGTGCTTTGGAATTCTCTTTTATGAGAAAGTTGGAAATAAAAAAATCAGAATCAACATTGTCTTCCTGTCTGATGAGAAAAATAAGACCTTATCACTCAAAACCATGTGATTAAAATGAGAGAGAAGTGAGCTGTTTGTCATCCAGAGTCACCTAAAATAAACTCTTCTATCACATAATTGTTCCTGTGTTCTTAACTGACGTTGCAAAGAAAACATGTGATGCTCAGTATCACTGTCGCCCTCCAGGCTATCACTACATCTGTCTGAGGAATGAGAGGAACCAGCCGCTGATGCTCCCAGCTCTCTTCGTCTACATCGAGGTGAAAGACTATGTCCCAGACACATACGCAGGTAAACAGCCTAGCTCAGATGGGCGTCTCTTTCTGGGGTCATCCGCATACTCGTGGAAACAAAGGCAGGAAATTCTGTCCTCAGAATCACCTCTGTTTTGTATGTATGTTTAGAAGGTCAACAACCCAAGCCTTTATTAATAAGGCTTAATTTAATTTAGTTCAAGTCCCCATAAAGCCTCGAGCATATTTATCCACCAGGAGGTAGTATTATTATTCTCACGGGCCCAACACATTCTAACTGATGCTATCTGGTACTACAGCAGTCTGTCTACATCTGTGGAATTAATTTGCCTTGAGCCAGTTTTAGAATGCTGATTCTTTCCATTCATGGAATCCTGAGTTTAGAGAAGTTAATTTGTGATGACATCAACCAGGAATAATAAATTTAAAATGCTTCTGCTGCTAAGTGACCAGGGTGTCATATACTAAAAAGTAGTACAGACAATGGCACGCTTGGAGCCCAGGCTCCATCCAAAGGTGGAAACCACCAGGCTCCCCAGCTAGACAGTGTCCTGTGCTAATGAAACCCGTACTGCCAAACCTTTGGGTTGTTTTAACAGTCCGTAAAACAGACCTTTTATGTGAAATGTCTCCATTGATGAGGAACACCATTTGGGCCAAATAGGCCAAGTGTGGGGGCCATTGCTGGAAGGGATGGGACCCCCCCAAGAAGAAACTAAAGAATATGGAGTATTGAGACATTCTGATTTGGAACCTGTTGAGTTTGGCTCTCAGAGCTGACCTCTTTTGAATGCTCTCGTTTCAGCAAAAGGTCTTAACTCTTGTCCATTTCAAAAACTTTGGGTGTATGAGTCGGTAATTATATTGGTAGATGTTTGAATTAAAAATAAATGATGAATTGATGGGTTGATGAATGGTAGATGGATAATGAATTAATGGATGGATGAATGCATGGATGAATAAGTGCATGGATGGATGATGGATAATCAATACCTCCAGGATCTTTGATCTAGAATGTCTCTTTCCTACTCAGATGTGATTGAAGCTTTGTCAAATCCAATTCGATATGTGAATCTGATGGAACAGAGAGCTAAGCAACTGGCGGCTTTGACACTGGAAGATGAAGAAGAAGTAAAGAAAGAGGTGAGAGGATGTTCTAATCATTTGCATGGCATTAAGCGTGATTTCCACACCTAGGTGCTGGCTTCAGCTATGCAACATCACACCGCAGGAGAAGAAAATCACACATTGGAAAAACTCTTTGATGGAGTTCAGCATCATTTCACAAAACAACCAGATGACTGACTGAATTTTTCATATCATTCTCTTTTGGTATGCTGTGGCTACCGCCACTGTCTTATTTTGTGATCACATGAAACAGTACACATCTTGCTGTTTCAGGTGAAAATTTCTAGATGATTTCATGTTGACTAAAGGTAATTAAGGCACTTAGGAGAGAAGATGATTATCAAGTCAGTCCTTTGTCTTTAAAGTACAGGATTTTCAAAGTGCTTTTTTGACTTCTTTCAATATATAAAGTACAGTATTTAAAACACCTGGTGTGTAGTATGGGCCGTTAGCTATTTACTATTTTATTACATTGTATACTTATGTATTAAAATATATATTTCCAATATAGTCATTATATTATTTTAAATTACATGTAACAATGCAAAAAAATAAAGAAGGGTCTAGAAAGTGAAGTTTTAAAATATAAAGCCTGTATGTAGACTGGCAATCATTTGGTTTTTTTTAAAAAATGAAATATTATCTAATAATATGAGATTATTAGATAATATTTATCTAATAATTATTGGAGATGATCCAAATATTAAAAATAGTGGTAAAATTTGGTAATTTCATATTTTATCTGATTATTCAAAAAATAAATTTAGGGGAAAAGATAATAAAAATAGAATAACTATCAGTGTGGTGGAAAAATTGAAAATTGTTTGGATAAACTACAATAGTAAGTTCATTGAAGTTGATATTATTTACTAATGGCCTTCTTATTCTAAAAAAAAATTTCTAGATTTATTATAGGAAATTTTAACATTAAAAATAGGAGAAGAAAGCCTTCAAGATGTCACCTGTAACTGAAGCACCCAAGCCACCCGACAATAACACTGTCAGAGGGGTGCATATGTAGCTGGTTTTTTTGTGCACAATTTTACTTCTTCAAAATGTGAGATACTATTCTCAGTCTGTGTTTTATTTTCACTTAATGCAAGCATTTTCCATCTTACTAAATATTCTTTTGTGACATGACTTTGAATGACTTCATGGTCTCTGTCCTGTAGCTATTCCATGAGTTACAGTTACAGTCCCTACCATTGGGTATTTGGAATGCTTCACTGTTTTAAGCAGATCTTCTATGAACATCATATAAGTATTTTAGCACCTCTATGATTATCTCCTTGGGTTTTTTTTTTAGAAATTTTTGATCTAAGATATTGAGTTAGTTGAACATGAGAAAAATGAAATAAAAAGGAAAACACTTCACATAAGAGTGGTATTTTCCAGCTCTCATTGATGCTGTGGGCATCACATCCCATAGGACAAGCAGATAAATCATTCTCTGTGATGAAATTTTAAGTTAGACTGAAAAGTTTTATAAATAATGTTCTGCGTGATACGCAATAAATGGAGTTATAGGGAAATTTTACACTGCCAGAACATTATGCCTAATGGTAGACATGACTATACTTCGAAAGTTATTCATGCTTCTGACATTTATGGTTAACATCTGCAGAAGGGAAAAAAACAATTAAAGGAGTAAAAGCCCTTAGGCCCCCTGCTTGAATGTTGAGGGATTAGTCTAAACCGTCACTGCACATACAGAACCCATTGGAGGAGGTGTCTTCCCATGTTTGTTCTGAGCAGATGCTGTCGGTGCCTGGTCCATACCTCCTTTGCAGGGCTGCTGCAGTGGTGGGCTGCTGGCCCCTCACAGCTCCAGATTCTTCCAGAGGACTGGCCTGGGCTGATAGAAGCCGCCTCCTCTGGAGATGCTCAGAAAGTTATTCCTAGAAGGGGGTGATTCATGTCCAGAGACTGAAAGATCAAGGAGAGAAACAGCCCCCATCCTTTACTGTTGGGTGGACAACTTCTGTGTTGCAATTCACATTCCCAGGCCCCCCATTGGATCAGGCTGAGGCTAGACTCCACCTAAGACCATATGTTGATGTGTTTTCTCTCCCCATTCTATCCTGCTTTCCTCATTTCCCTACAGTTCTCTCCTGAGACTGTTCTCTCAATAAATCATGCAATCAAGAATACCCAGGTGCAATTCTCCCATTAGGAAACCCAGCAATGCTAAGTGGCTTCTGTTTATAATTAAATAAAAAACTGAGTGCCTTTTCTGAATTTTTCATTTGGGAGCTAGAATTTAAATGTCTGACAATAGTTGCATCTTTAATTCTAGTGCTTCTTCAGAGATAATAGTACTTCTTTCTTAACAATTTCCTTTGAAAAGATTAACTAAGACTACAGGATTCAATGGATTTCTTGCTTTTCTCATAGAGGCAAAATAAAATAAAAACTCTCCTTAGAAATCCACCAGAAACTCTGAATCTCTTTTCTCTTCTACCTTCTTTAGCTTCTGCCATATTGAATAAAATTTAATTCAAAGTAAAGACAATTTATGTAGCTATAAAAAGTTACTATTAATACCCCTGGCTGGTGTAGCTCAGTGGATTGAGTGCAGGCCTGCAAGCCAGAGGATCGAGGTTCAATTCCCAGTCAGAGCACATGCCTGGGTTGCAGGCTCGTTCCCAGCAGTGGACACACGAGAGGCAACCATACATTGATGTTTTTCTCCCTCTCTCCTTCCCTTCCCCTCTAAAGATAAATAAATAGAATCTTTAAAAAAAAGTTACTATTAATAGCATTCTTCTCTAATTAGAAAACAGGAATCTCTTTTATCAACTAGATGCATTTTATTTTCAAAGAAATAGAAGTTTGAATGAAGTAGTTTCGAGTAAAATTACACGAATCATCACTATTTAGAAACAATACTCTATATCATCATCCTCCCTTTATTCGTTAGCCGGGTTCTCAGAGGAGCAAGCTCGCACTTGAAGGGAACTTTCCAAGACACCGGCAATTCCAGCCCATGCAGTGCAGTAGTTGAGGGAACAGTCTATACAGCACAGGTTGCCGCTGGTGCCTCAGAGAGACCATTTCTCTAATAAGATGTCAAAAATGCCACTCTAAGGTTCAGAGGCCCAGGGCCTCTGAGATTGCAGGGGCCCTTCCACATCGCTGTCCCTTCAAAGCCTGATCTTTGCAGCAGACATCACTTATCAGAAAGCTATTTGGAGACAATGCAGCACGAACAGATATACAAGCACAGTAGAATTTCAGGCCAACCTTTTGTTTCTCCTCTAACAAGTGGTAATCAGAAAGGGTTTTCAGTAAATATGTACTGTTGGTTAAACTTACAGAAAATTTGGACCTTTTCAGCTTTAGAAATAATGTAAAGACATTGAATCAGATAGATTCCATATGGTCGAACAGAAAAAAATACATTTTTTTCCTTTGAAAAGTCTAAACCCATCACTGACCTCATTTTTGAAATTCAAGAAAAAATCATCCTCCCTTATCATGTCCTGCTAGGAAAGAAGAGTCATTTCACACCGTTGAATGCTGGTGTGCCCTTTACCTTGTCGTTCAGTAGCGCAAGTGTATGTGAATGAGGCCACTGGAAATAAGTAGCTGTGGTTTTCTCGGAAGAAAATTCTATCTAGGACATGGCTGGCACTGGAGACACTATTTTCGCAGCAAAGACTTTTTTAGTAGAATCCTTTTAACTTGTAGTTGTAAAGGTCATTTCCATTTGAAAGTTAAAGATTTCATTGGGCTGCAAAATGGTCCCACATTACTAATAATCTAATAAGTTATCTTCATAGAGTAATTTGAAAACCAAATAAATAGAAAATTGAAAATTCCCCCATGCTTTGGACAGTAGATATTTTTTTATATCATGTGAAAAGATACATATGTATGTTGAAAGTTATGGAATTATTAGAGATTAGAGTTGCTAGATTTATTTTATATCTCTTTTCAAGTTGTTGTTCAGGGTGGTAGGTTAGTAAAGTTACAGAAAGTTGCCTTATCTGATTAATAACAAAGGCTTTATAATATGTTTCGCTATTTCTCTAAATAAAAGGTCATATAAAAATTTAAAAACAATAAACAAAAGAAACAAAAAGCCCCTCAGTAATCTTGCAGATACTGTTAACATTTTTGGTGTATGTCGTTCTAGCATGTCTTCTATGTATATTTACTTTTTTAACAAAAGTTTTTATATTTAAATAAAATGTTTCACAGCCCTAATACTTTAAAGAAGTAACAGAGATGCCCATAACAGTTTGGATTTTCCTGTGGGGGAGCTCTGCCTGCAAGGCCCCCCTCCCTCTTCCCCGCCATCACGGATGAGAATAAGTCTACCAAGACTTGAACTGCTTGGGGAGGAAAGATGGCCAGTCTCTCAAAGGAGAAGGGCCAGAAGCCTGTTCCTCAGAGGGCTTTTATTGGGTTCAATTTGTATAGTAATACAGGGCATATACGTAAAGCTCATCAAGCATTGTCAGGCAGTAATGAGCAAACATTCAAAGAACTTTGAGGGCTTATTTTGGTCAAGGTCAGATAGCTAAAGGGCCATAAAACTTTGGGAAACAAACTCATTCTATGCTTGGACCCTTATTTAAATTGAGGGTATTCTTAGCAAAGCAGGTTTCACAGGATTTTATGTATTCTTTCTTAAGCCTGCTCACCCCAGGGAACCTGCCCTTTCCAGAACTGGGCCACACCCACCTCCAGCATTGTTTCAGGCTTAAGTCAGGCAGGAGAAATAAGGCAGCAAAGAGACTAGGAGACTTCTTGCAGACAGAATGAGGACTCAGGCTATGTCATAGCTGAGAAGTAAGAGTCCATCACTTCTTTTTCTGTAGCCCCCCAAGTCCTTCCCTGAGGACCCTTTCCTAAGATATTTGTGTCTTAGGTTGTCCCTCCTTTGATGAATCTTACCCATCATTGGCTAACCGGTCATCCACCCAGGGCCAAGCAGGGTGAAGAGAAAGGGGGCAGAGGCAGTGCCCCTCAAGGAAGATAAGCTTTGCCTCCTTAGTGGTTTGTGGTCC